AAATTTAGTTATAGTAATAAAATTTTTATAATTTTGTAATGAAATATCATTAGATATGATTATTACCTATTTAAATTTTAAAATATCAATGAATATTAACACCATTATAATAAGATCTTAGAAAAACAGAAAAAGCATTAAAATTTTAAGTAAAATTATATAAATACTTAAAATTTAATTTTTCAAAGAAAAAGGTAGGTGCATTTTTTCAGCAATAGCATCATGTATTTACCCTGAAATTTTTAAACCAATAGCTATGATAGATTTTTTCAAAGAGTGCGCGCAAGTATGAAAATCACCAGTTTGAGAAAAATGGTTTTAAAGTTTCAAAATTTTTAATATATATTCTCTCAAATAATACTAAACAGTTTAAAACTGCCTAGCTGCAAACACCATACCCTCATGTTCTTCAATAGCTGTTACTGCAACAAGTTGGCTCTTTTTCTTGCTTTGCAATCATCTAATGTAGACCTCTGTGCCTTTATTTCGGCTGACTGAATACGATGTTGATCAGTGTCTGCTGCAAACTTGACTGCATTATCACCAATTCGGTATCCGAGTTCATTCATAGTATGTAATCGCCCAGTATGACCACCGTTGTATATAATAACTGCCTCATCCACTGCTGTCTTAAAAATATTATAACCACACCCGGAATTTTTAGAACAAAATTACCAAATCAAATTTAAGAGAACAGCAATAAAAAATCTGATGTGTACACCACATGACTTCCTTGTACGGAATATTAAATTATACGCATTTGTTTCTTGCATTTCTTTTAAACTTATTGGATTTAATTAAATCTACTTCGCCGACAGCGAATAAACCATAATAGAATAAAGGCATTCTTTAAACTTCACTCTATTTGTTTAACATAGCGACACTCTGGCACTAGGTTCACTTAACAGCATTATATTTCATTCGTATTATAACTCAGAATGCACAAAATGTATATCATTTAAAGAATTATCTAATCGTTGCCACATGTTCTTTTCAAATACTATAATAAAGCTAGAACGATGTAAAAAAGAAATTAAGCAAACAAAACAAAAACAAAACAAAAAAACAGTTTCAGTTTTCACAGACGATTGAGTATTTCTCATTCAATTAATTCAGTTTTCCCACTTCGCGACAAGACAAAAATGCATAAAAGCTCAAAAATATCTGTATTAAAAATTACTAATTAAAAACTTAAATTACTAATTATTGAAAAATTAAAGTAAATCTTAAACACTTATTTCCTCGAAAAAAATTTCCAGAAAGGATTAAGCATGATTTAATTCGCAAATAATAAATGAGGCGTTATTTTTGTTGTTGCGAAGTTAGTCTCTCAAGATTGGCAACAAATCTACAATTCTGCTGTTTCAAATGTAAACAAATATGTTCGCCATGTTATTTAAAACTTAACCGCACTTAAACAGCTTTTAAATAGTTGATAATTGTACAATTATTGCTTCCAGAATTACGAAAGGCATAAAAACCTTAACCGGAAGATAAGAACAACATAATTCAATCATTTTTAAAGCAAAAAATGTACAATTTACAAACATATAAGAGTAAAGAAACTGAGATCACTGTGCCGAGTAACAAAGTGGATATATATATAAATATAGTATTTATATGCGTTTGGTGAGGCCGATATCAACCAAAATACGAGGTGCACATCTAAATGTTATAGCAGTCCTATATACAAAATTTCAACGTTCTTAGGCTACTCGTTTTTTGAGTTATGCGAGATACGTACGTTCGTACGCACGTACGTACATACGTTCGTACAGACGCCATGAAAAATTCTCTTCAGAATTAATTTTAAAGCAGTTTTATAATTTTTTTGGAGGAAACGAGTCTTTTATTCTGTCCTTACGTACAGATATCAGGCAAAAACATCGTTAAATTGCATTCGATAGCGGTCAAAATGGATATTTTCGTTGAAATATGCTGCCTGAAACTTTTCGCGATTACAATACTTCCTTTTTACTTCGTACAAGGAAGTAAAAATTTAGCAATAAAAAAGCCGTACCTTCTAAAAACCTTTGTTGCGAATCACATAGTGACAATACAAACAAAATTTCAATAATGGCGACACGTATCTTCAGAGAGCAGAGAGCTCTTCGGACTTAAGAGGTAGGCGCGACAGGCAGTCAGCATTCAACGATTTATTTGGATTCTGTGTAAGTCTTCCTAAACATTTTTTTAGTAATAATCGCACGCTAAGATCTTTAAATATATCTTTGGTAGCATCAATTAAATGTGGTGGAATTGAATATTTATGTTTGTACGATTTCAGATTTTCACTCGCACTCGCTCTTTGATATGTACACCACGAATCCTCCCCTGTTGGGCATAAATTGTGAGTATAGGTTCCACGTCGGTTGAACGTTTGTGGTAAAATATTGCCCACACTGCCTCTTACATATCTTTTGCAGAATTGTAAAGTTTTCTAATAGCATTTCCATAATAAATTGCCAATTGGGTTACATTATCACCCGTAAAGCGACCTTTTCCACTGAGAGTTTTACTGTCACTAAGTTTCTTCCCCTTCATTTCTTGCTTTCGCTTATATATATTATACTTGATGTTAATAGTAAAAATTAAAGCAATCCACAATTGAATATTCGTAAGCAGCTGCGTGTACAAATGTAAACAAATGTCAGGCGATAATTTAAATGCCCGATCTGGCAATATTTACCTCAGAATCGTTTTCCTTATTTCATAATTTTTAAGGTTTTAATTCGAATATCTTGACGCTGTTTGTTTTAACAGACTCAGGAATGTCTACAGCTTCTAAAAATGCAAAAATAAAATAAATAAATAAATACATAAAAATAAAAATAAAATTCTATTTTTTGAATGTGCAAAGGTGATGGCTCCCCTTAGGAGTTATTTAATATTAACAATGATTATACGAAAATACTGCATGTTGTAAGTTATCTTTTCAGATTTATCCACAACCTGGAGAGTACGATTGAAAAAAGAATGGGACTCTTGACAACGGACGAGAACAACAATGACGAAATTTTCCTGATAAAGATTCAAAGTAAAGAGTTTCCAAAGGACATCGAATGCTTATGCTAAAAATAAATATTCTTGAGAAAAGTAAGATAAAATGTTTAACTCTCTTTTTAGACAAGGAGGGAGTACTAAGAGTGAACTGTAGAATAAAGCATGCTGATGTGAAAATAAATGCGCTTGTGCTTCTCAATGACAAAAATCTAATGCCTCAAAAATGGGCATTAGGTAGAATAATTGAGCTACATTTTGGTGAAGACGAACGGGTCAGAGTTGTTAATGCAAAACGTCAATATAGAGTTTACAAACGACTCATTTCAAAAATCAGTATTTTACGTATTGATATGCAATCTCATTCATAAGTCAAATAACAAAAATCTGCGTATTATTTTATATGTGATTTAATGTTATTACTGGAATTTATTTTCTAATTACAAATGCAATAACTGTAAGATTTAATAATTGAATGTTGTTGTGTCTAGCGGTGTGGGTTCAGTGAAGTGCATGATGCAACCAAAACAGACTAGTTTACGGCACAAACATTTATTTCTAACTAACTCATAAGGCAGCAGCAATGAGCTATTTACGCAGTTACATTACATTCTACTCTACTCTCGTTCACAGAGGTTCTCGGGTATAAGAGTACTGATACTCTCGAAATCAGATGCTACAAATGTAACCATTGCGACGTGGGTCGGAATGTTCCGCACAGGGCCTGATTTAGACTTCATAAAGCCCTGAGCTCCTTGAGATATGGGGCCCTTTATAAGTCTTTTATACTATACTATATTTATACTATAAACTATATTTACAGAATATATTACTATATTTACTATACACAATATATATACTACATTTATACAATTTATACTATATTTTAATCTTTGGCGCCCTCCAAGAAAGCGGAGGCCCTAAGCTATAGCTTGTGCAGCTTATACATAAATCCTGCAGTAGAGCCTCACCTAATTATAAGCGCTATTGTACCAGCGCCAGCTACCAAGAAAAGAAAAATGTTAAGTTGGCATGGAAATCTAGAGCGGTTTTTATTTAAGATTTTGGATTTTAATAAATTGTTAGAATTGAGATTTCAGAAAATGGTGTGAGTGTTTTTAAAAATACAGTCCACTGAAATTTGTGTTACAACTGTCTTTAGTGATCAATAGTGAGAAATGTTTTATTTTAGCTACTGCAACCGACCAGCTATTTAGTTCTTCGATCATTTCCTCATCCTTTAATTACGGCTTTTATCGCTTTGCCGTTGGAAGTAAGAAAGTGAGAAACGCCTATGTCCTATACACGTTTAGTCGTTTTTCGATAATCATCGGAATTTCTCACATAGATTTTTTATTTACACGTTCCTAATTTCGCAAAGAATTCTTCTCTCCAGTGATCTTGAATTTGTTTTCTTAGGTCGATTCACTCAACTTCAGTTTCGGGGTTTAGAATAGGAGAATTCTGTAAATTTAACACTTGGTGAGCCTGCTGGAACTTTCATTTTTTCATTTATTCCGTCAGTATTGGTTAAAGTATCAAATTTGTTGTTTCTTTTGATACCCTCAGGTTCGGGTCTTCATGCAAATCTTGTCACAGTTCTCGTCTGTATTTTCTATTATCATCAGCCTTCTTTTTTATCAGTTATTTGGGAACATTTGGAGGCATTAAGTAATCCATAGAACCATCAGTCCTTCTGGAAATGTCATTAAACTTTTCCTAATCCCAGTGTTCTTATTCCCAATTCTCGATATGCCTTCAGCTGTAAGCTGCAATTCCTGCAATTTACGCCACTGGATACATCGAGCTGACGGTCTGTCTCCTAACTCATTTATTAAGTTAATTAGTTCTTTAATGCGAGTCCAATTTCCTCATCATTGGGGCTGTCATCATACTTATCATTGATGTCATAAATATCAATATCATCTCTTTCATTTGCTTAAATAAAACGTGTTCAGATAGAGATGATGAGTTGAACAGAGTCATAAAATGCAAGTCACGATCTAAACACAGCTCAGCAAAACACAAACATTCAACCAATTAGCATCGGCGGTTGACAATTCATACGGGCTCACATGTCTGTCTATGTTTATCAACCGTTTAATGCGTGTTATCTGCTATTAAGTCAAGTAGGAGGAAATATTTAAGTTATTCGTGTTCATCTCAGCTAAAACATGTTTCTGTCAAAGGTAACTATGTATTTTGTATAGTAGACCATTTTGAATGTCTGCGAAATGATTGTATTTAATATCATTGTTTCGTAACTTAAGAGTATTTGTATCGTACAAATGTTATGAAATCTTTCTTTGGTAAAATTCATTTTAGTGCATAATGACTTGCATTCTGATTTAAAATAAGTAACACTAATTTTTTTCGCTTAGATTATTCGTCCATCACAAGCTGTGAAATTTAATCTTCAACTTTTGTCATCTTCAGTTTTGCGATTATCATCATCCAAAGCCAATGGATTTAGTTTTGGTAAATCAAGTTTTGCTTGACAATACCTTAGTTTGTGTAGATTTGTATGTTTTTATCCTTATATATATATATATATATAATATATATAAAACATATATATATACTAAACTAACAAAGCAGTTGATTTAATTATATAACAATATACTTAAATTGTTTTGTTATACAGTTGACCCGCTTATAGCGGTGTGGCTTACATTGGAAACATTTGCTATTCTCCTGTGTAGTGTGAAACGCTTTCTGAAGTCAAAAAAAAAAAGTGATAACACATCATACTTTTCCATATCAGTATGGTAACAAAATATTTTTCCATGGTATGGAAGGAAAAAGAGAAAGGAATTTCGTTACATTCTAATGCTGAACAAATTTGAAGTATGAGTAAAATGTTTACTTCTTATTAATTTTTGTTAATTAGTGAAAGTTTGCCCCAAATTACATCTTCTACTCGTAAATTTAAATTGTTGTGTTTTCTGTGTTCTATGGAACTTCAAAATCTTCAGAATGAGGTGCAGCTGAAAAATGGAAACAGCAGTAACAGAAAATTTTGCAAAGAGGAAAGGGATTATACTAATCTGTATTTTATCTCCTATATCTCTTTAGTATTGTTCTTATATGGAGGAATTGTGGTTCAAAAGATTAAAAAATCTTGTAGAATTTGGATTTAGATAAAATTTAGAATTTGCCCCACCTCTAATTTCTTTTTAATAGTTCATTTTTTTAAACTTCTTGTAAGCTAAGACTTTGCACAACAAATCTGGAAGTTATGGGATAGCATGTATAAAATAGATGTGTTTGACTGTGTCTTTGAAAAATTTTTGAGTTAATGTATGTTAAACATTTTTCTTTATGATTTTGATACAGACTGTAGCTATCAAAATTGATTATGGAGATTTTAATTTAAACATATTTTTTATTAAATTTTTTGAATTATTTAAAATGTAATTATTAAAAATATTATGTACTTAGCTAATAGACAAATATGAAAAATAATTTTGATATCGAGCTTAAAATGAAAATGAATTATAAAATTTGTAAGGAATTTGATGTACTCTGATCTGGTTCCATTTCATAATTTATGTAGTAATTTTTGCCCTTTCTTATTTTTTCCAGTAGATTCTAAAATTTTTATATTTTATTATGAATTTATTTGTATAAAGGTGATTAAACAAATTTATGCTAACTTGTAAGATTTTGCTGTAAGGAAAGTTGATTTATAGTCTGCTTTTCTTTGATTTTATAGCATACCTAGCTCCACTGTAGAAATTATATTTATGGACGTACCTGTATGCAAACAAGACATGCTGTTTATGAAATTTCTATAAGCATCTTTAATTTTGGAAAATATTATTTATTTTTGCAAATGTTAGTTTATCATGTAAAATATATCTTGTATTACATTAGTTTAATATATTTTAGTATGCTTGAAACTTAGTTGTAGAGCTCATGAAGTGACTGAAAGTAAAATTGAGCAAACTCATGGATTTTCCCCCTCTATTTAAATTTGCAATCTCACTTTACTTCTCATTGGAAAGGATTTTTTCTTTAAATGCTGATATTCTAAAGCTTAAATTAATTTTAATGGTATTTATTATTATTCACTAACAGTAATATCAGATCATGATAATATTGTATTATTTATCACATATCAAAATATTCTAATGAAACAATGTTTTTAGAACTCACTCAAGAACAGAAAGAAATACAAGATATGGCTCGTAAATTTGCTAGAGAAGAAATTTTACCTAAAGCACCTCACTATGATAAAACTGGAGAAGTAAGTTTCATGATTTATCTTAAATATATATCAGCTATTTTGTTTCATAATATGAAGTAATTTCTCCCTACTCTTGTTTTATTTTCATTCTTATTGTCTCTGAGTTTTAAATATATGTTTTTTTAATTTATACGTGTGTTATATGTGTGTATACATAATAAATGTGTATGTATACCTACACATACAAACACATTCATACATTCAAATTTATGGTGTACAGTTTGTTGAAATTATAAGTATACTAATTCAGAAGACAAACAACAAAAATCAGCGTTATACCTACAAAATTTTCACAGGACTAGTTTCGATGGTTTTACCGAACCATCATCTTCAGCTGCAAAACCGCAAATGAACAAGATAGGAAATAATGATTAGATAAGATAAGAAAGCCTGGACAAGAATAAGCAAGTGGCGCCATCTGTTGGCAAAACCAGAACTAAAACATAATTTCTCTAAAAGCCGAAGGCAAATTTGGATTGGAATTAGGATCGTTAACTAGAACAGAAAGATTTTTATGAATGTGAAATGCCTCTAGAAAATCCAGTTCTCCAATGGAAGATGTTTTTTGAATAATTTTGGCAGCAGAAAAATTGAAAGTGTGATTTTCGGACCAACAATGTTGAGCAACAGAAGACTTCTGTGTTTCCTTTTTTCTAACATATGCCTCATGTTCTTTGACGCGAAATTTTAAGGCTCTCTCTAGTTTGGCCAATGTAAATTAAACCAACACTGGCAAGGAATCCTATAAATACCCCAGGAATTCATATCCGGAATGGGGTCCTTGAGTATAGAAGTTGGAATTTTATTGATGGGAGAATAAACAACCCGAAAGTTAAACTTCTGCAAAATATGTGCAACTTTATAGCTAATTGATGGAAAGAAGGGAATGACAACAGAATTTTTATAATCTCCTAAAATAAGAGTGTGGCTTTTAGTGTGTTGAGATGAGAATTTTTTAACTGCTTGATTAATAACGTTGGGTGAAAAGCCCCTGTCAATAGCTATTGCTTTTAAATAATTTAGTTCTTCATCAAGGGCTAGTTTGGAGGAGCAAACTTGAAGAGCACGGAAAACATAGGAATAAAATGAAGCTAACTTTTGTTTAGTCGGATGACATGATTTAAAGTGTGGTGGAAGGCAAACCGATGAAGGTTTACGGTAAACTGTAGTACTGAAGTTGGATGTGTTACGTGTGACCAGAATGTCGAGAAACGGAAGAGTCTCAAGCAAGTCTCAAGTTCAAAAGTGAACTGAATAGCAGGATCAATAGAATTCATTGTTGAAAGAACTTTATTTAAATCATCTTTATTACCTTCAAACAGGGTAAAAGTATCGTCTACGTAGCGGAACCATGCCGGGAAGTTTAAAGTTTCAAACAATTTTGATTCATAATAATGCATGTAGATATCAGCCAGGATGGGACTGAGGGGGCTTCCCATGGCTAATCCCTCAGTTTGCTTGTAATATTTTATTTTGGAAAACAAAATGTGTTTGTTTCGAACAGAGTTGAGTGAGAGAAATTAGCTCATCAATTTTGATGCAAGAGAAATGAAATTCGCGAAGTCCTGGTTTCTAGACATCTTAATGCCACCCTCCACTGGGACATTGGTGAATAATGATTTTTACATTATTCACCAATGTCCAGTGGAGTAAATTACTAGGAGAAATGTTTTTACCTTTTTACAAAAACTCTATTGAATTTTTATGGTGTAAATGTTATTGTCTAAGAGAGTGGAAAATCTAGAAACTAAATATTTAGCTAAAGGATACGAGGCAGTACCTAAATTTAATACAATAGGGCGGAAAGGAATACCACTTTTATGAATTTTGGGAAGAGCATATAATCTGGCACAATTCGCAACAGATGGGATAAGCGAACGTTTTAAGTTGCTTGAAATGATTTTCGAAGATTTGATCGCAGTTTTTATTTTGGATAAGTCCGAAGGTGAAGGATCTTTACCTTCGGACCTGAATCATCTTGACTTTTTACTTAAATGTAAATGTAAAAAATTGATCCCTAATTTTATTCAAATCAAATCTAATCAAAAACCTTCGAGTCGCATTTCAAGAATTCTGTTAAATTGCAAGCTTGCCTTACTTCGGTCCGTGATAAGGGATACACGTCAACAATTGTCCAAAATTGAACATGAACTCTATAAGCTTCATCTGGAACTCGCTAAATCATATCCAAAATTCACTGCCCTTGAACAAAAGTCTTGGTCTAGAACGGAGAATGCAGTTAACCTTCATAAAAACACCCTTGCAGTTAAATTCGAAAAACTTCTTTTAGGGTCTTCCAGTTCAAGTAGTTCAAAAAATCTTCCCATTGTAAACATCAAGCCAATAGTTAATATTTCTAATGTTAGTCTTTCAGAAGAACAAGAGAGAATTCTAAAATATAATTTTAACTTCTCACAAACCTGTAAACCCTCGATTCCAAAGATTTTGGCTCCTATCGAAAATAGAAATAGAAATCGAAAATATCCTATCGAAGCTTTCAAGTTCAGTAAAGTTTCAGATTCACAGAAAGAAATGATTAGGCATCTTATCGCTCATAATGTGAAATTCAATAATAAACCTTTGAAACCAAATCTAACTGCGAGAGAGAAAGAGCTACAATGCGCGAATTCATTCTAACCCGGATATTATCATTTCAAAGGCTGACAAAGGTGGCCAGATAGTCGTCATGGATAAGAAACTTACATGGATGGTGTCACTAAACTCTTAAACGAAGGACCATATAATCCGATCCCTAAAGATCCTTCACCTTCGGACTTATCCAAAAAAAAACTGCGATCAAATCTTCGAAAATCATTTCAAGCAACTTAAAAACGTTCGCTTATCCCATCTGTTGCGAATTGTGCCAGATTATATGCTCTTCCCAAAATTCATAAAAGTGGTATTCCTTTCCGCCCTATTGTATTAAATTTAGGTACTGCCTCGTATCCTTTAGCTAAATATTTAGTTTCTAGATTTTCCACTCTCTTAGACAATAACATTTACACCATAAAAAATTCAATAGAGTTTGTAAAAAAGGTTAAAAACATTTCTCCTAGTAATTTACTCACTGGGACATTGGTGAATAATGTAAAATCATTATTCACCAATGTCCCAGTGGAGGGTGCATTAAGATGTCTAGAAACCAGACTTCGCGAATTTCATTTCTCTTGCATCAAAATTGATGAGCTAATTTCTCTCACTCAACTCTGTTTGAAACAAACACATTTTGTTTTCCAAAATAAATATTACAAGCAAACTGAGGGATTAGCCATGGGAAGCCCCCTCAGTCCCATCCTGGCTGATATCTACATGCATTATTATGAATCAAAATTGTTTGAAACTTTAAACTTCCCGGCATGGTTCCGCTACGTAGACGATACTTTTACCCTGTTTGAAGGTAATAAAGATGATTTAAATAAAGTTCTTTCAACAATGAATTCTATTGATCCTGCTATTCAGTTCACTTTTGAACTTGAGACTTGCTTGAGACTCTTCCGTTTCTCGACATTCTGGTCACACGTAACACATCCAACTTCAGTACTACAGTTTACCGTAAAACCTTCATCGGTTTGCCTTCCACCACACTTTAAATCATGTCATCCGACTAAACAAAAGTTAGCTTCATTTTATTCCTATGTTTTCCGTGCTCTTCAAGTTTGCTCCTCCAAACTAGCCCTTGATGAAGAACTAAATTATTTAAAAGCAATAGCTATTGACAGGGGCTTTTCACCCAACGTTATTAATCAAGCAGTTAAAAAATTCTCATCTCAACACACTAAAAGCCACACTCTTATTTTAGGAGATTATAAAAAAATTCTGTTGTCATTCCCTTCTTTCCATCAATTAGCTATAAAGTTGCACATATTTTGCAGAAGAGTTTAACTTTCGGATTGTTTATTCTCCCATCAATAAAATTCCAACTTCTATACTCAAGGACCCCATTCCGGATATGAATTCCTGGGGTTATTATAGGATTCCTTGCCAGTGTGGTTTAATTTACATTGGCCAAACTAGGAGAGCCTTAAAATTTCGCGTCAAAGAACATGAGGCATATGTTAGAAAAAAGGAAACACAGAAGTCTTCTGTTGCTCAACATTGTTGGTCCGAAAATCACACTTTCAATTTTTCTGCTGCCAAAATTATTCAAAAATCTTTCTGTTCTAGTTAACGATCCTAATTCCAATCCAAATTTGCCTTCGGCTTTTAGAGAAATTATGTTTTAGTTCTGGTTTCGCCAACAGATGGCGCCACTTGCTTATTCTTGTCCAGGCTTTCTTATCTTATCTAATCATTATTTCCTATCTTGTTCATTTGCGGTTTTGCAGCTGAAGATGATGGTTCGGTAAAACCATCGAAACTAGTCCTGTGAAAATTTTGTAGGTATAACGCTGATTTTTGTTGTTTGACTTCTGAATTAGTATTTATTCGGCGTGTTATTGTGTCTTAATTATTATAAGTATAGTTCGACCGCCTCAATCGCAAGTATGATCACAAATAGGTACCATTGGTTCAATTTATTCTCAAAATAGGATGGATGGACAGGAATCATATTAGGGATTTTCCCCATTTGTTTCTACGGCATTCAAAGAGCACGTATGTAAAAAGATATAAAATTACTTTTAAGTAATGTAAGCCGACATGCTGATCATCGTTTATAAATAGCTGTTTTGGTTGATCTTTACAATATGGTAACTGGTAGTTTGGCGACATTTTGGAGGCGATAAAGGTTACTACCTGGGACTTAGGTAATAATGTGAGCAGTACTCAGTTCCGATTACGCATTATTTTGCGTGAGGTAAATGAGAGATCATGGGATATGTCATGTGATATTAATGGACGAATTACGGTTCTTTAATCGGAAAAGGGGGGAAAAATCGGGAAAAAAATGGAAATTTTGTATTTAGCTTTATTCTGTGTTGTGTGAAACAGAGTTGTTTAATTTTTGGATCCCATGGCCCTAACTAAAGTGAATTCGAAATGGGTTATTAGGCATTGTAATA